CATACTTTTTTTTTACTTGTTTACTTGCTTGCTTGCTTGCATCCTCCCTTCCTTGTTTATTTCTGCCTTCATATAAATTTGTTTACTTGTTTTTTTGTCTGCCTTCATACATTGCTTGTTTGCTTGTTTGCTTGTTTGCTTGTTTGCTTGTCATTCATTGCTTGTTTGCTTCCTCCCTTCCTTGTTTTTTTTTTCTTTCTGCCTTCATACATCAGGCCATGCAAAAGATGGAAAATGAGTTCATGATATATTTCATGGTTCTTGCAACCACAAACAAACCTTTTGACCATGATGAGGCTATCATTAAAAGGTTGCCTCGTATGTAATTTATAAATAGCTTCCTTGTTAGACTGAGCTTTCTGTCAAATTTACATGTCGTGAAAAGTTTGTGGTATCTTCTGCAGGTTGATGGTAGGACTACCAAATGCTCTGAATACATCAAAGATATTAAAGGTTATTTTTGCAAAAGAAGGTTTGTCTCCTGATTTGGTATGTTTTATATTCTGTTCACTGGAACTTATCTCTTATGTTTTCTCTAGCTGTATCACGGAATCTGCTCACTAGTTCTACTTGCTAACTTCTCCGATGGTTTGACCTATTGCATATTTTAGCTAAAAATGTGTTGGTGAGTTCTGTGGTTGGATTTTGTTTGTTTCCACTCTGAAGTATGTGTATCTTTTTCTTAGCTTTTTTGAGTTCATGTTTCAGGGTACAACACCTAAGGCAGATTTCACTACGTATCTTGTTCCAGGGATTGCCTCAAATCTAAATGATGTTTTGCCTTTCTCATTCGAACAACCACCTCAAGTTTAAGAAAGGTATTGACTTTTCAATATCATAGATGTTTAACATGTCAAGTTAAAAACGTTCAAGAGGGATAATGAGTGTTATTTATGTTTATAGCAATAGAGTGTTAGCTTAATGTAATTTGCTTGTGTTCCTCTGTATGCATATCCCAAGTTTGTTGATATATTGACCTGCTTAAATTTTATCTTTTGAGGAACGTTCTTGTAGTCAGCCAGCTTAATGGTTGTATCAGAACCAGAGCTTGGATATGTTCAAGGGTTACGTCTCTGGAGAAATACCTCTAGAGAGATCAATGATGAGATTTTCAAGGGTTATCAGAAAGGAAATCCCGAGGGAAGATAATGAGATCGTTGCAGGTTGCTCAACTTCTCAACATGTATCTATAACAATGCTTAATATGCACATGAGATTTATGACTCTTCCTGGCTGATTTTTTGTTGCCTTAGCATATGATTTCTTGAACACATACAAGAATGACACTTGAAATAGACTTACAAAGTTGGTCCAAGTCCCCTTCTCAAGTCAATTTGGTAAGAAAACTATACTGTAGTCAAGACAATCCTCCCTGTCATTGCATTTTCTTGATTGAACTGAGGCTTACACTTTGCCAAACTGCAGGTGTCAGATTCCTACCTTTAATTTCAGAATGTCCGAGGAAAAAAAGATGTTGTTTGAATATGCCAGAGAAATGCATACTCTAAACAAGTTTTTGTCTAGACATCGTGTCGTGTCTCTAACTGGTACCCTTTTCTTTACATCGGTTATTCGTCTTCTGTCCCGTAAGTTTCCTTTCAATAAACTACCTTACATTTTAATTGATGGATCAGGTGAAACTACCGCAAACTCTCTACAAAACCAGTGTGCACTTTTCCATTGCAGTAGCAAAAGTAGATTGATGGATGTGCTTTTCGGGTATGAGGCAGGTGAGGCAACTACAAAGCTTTTAAGTGTAACTTCAAAGCATCATTGCTATAACTAACTTTTTCAGGACTGTGAAGTAGAATGAACCTGAGTATTGAAAATTGTAGAGGAAGAAGGAGAAAATTAGTATTGACAAACTATCTATGCCATCTCCAAAGATTATTCCACGTACATATCCATTAATTAGTATTCTGTAAGTAACTTTGCATCTATAACATATATAACCATCCTAGTATTTTTATATCACAACTTCTTACTGACTTATTATATGCATGTGCCTTTTAATACTAGGTTTATGTATGTCCAAACTGTGATGATGATTGATTCTGAGGTCATTTTGAAAATTTCCAGAAGAAGAGCGTATGCGCAAAAGAGTATCAAACTCTAATCCATCGGGGAGTACAGGTAGATACTAATCATTCTTTCTGTTATGACTTTTCGATTTCCTATAGAATAGATTCCAATCTACATGAATCTGATAATTCATATTTGGTATCTATATTTGTGCTTGTATTAGTATCTACAAATCTAGTGGGGACACTAAAACTGAATAAACTAGTGACCACTTGTTTACAGCCAAAGCCACCATTTCAAATCAAATAAGGTATTATAGCCTACATACTATTGAATAACATGTAGTGAGGCCAAATGAGCTAAACAAGAAAAAATATTGATGAGTTTCTAATTTCATTTTTAGATCATGTAAGCTGCCAAAGCATCTCTAGATACCAAAGATCAACAACATGGCCATGAACCATGCTAAGCCTATATTGTGAGTTATCATCTTCTTGGTTTTAAAAAATCTCTTCTAATACATAGAACTATTAGTTTATGCAATTTTGAAATATCAGTGTTTTATATCCAAAAATGTACTTATTGGTTGAAGTTACAGAAAGAAGCCATGAACTGGAGATTGGTTGAAGTTACAGAAAGAAGCCATGAACTGGAGCAAGTGTTGATAGGGTGATTCAAGTGTCCAGTATGTATTCGACATTTTTCTTATATTCAGTATTTCAACTTTTCTATTTTGTTTTCTTATGCAGGAGCAAATTTCATAGCCAATACAAACCATCTGAGCTGCTATGGTTCATAATTTGATAGAGATACAACTTACAAGGTAAATCAATTCTCTCCACGATTTCTAGACCGTGGTTTAAAGAGTCGACTTGCAAATAAAAATGAGTGTTTTTTTATAGAAAAAGAATAAGAATAATATTGAGTTTAGAGTTCCTAAAGGGAGTTTTTACCCAAGTAACATTATTATCTTTAAAATAGCTTGCAGGAGACTAAAAATCGTGTGTGAAGAAGAATGTTGTTCAAACCTCTAAATATGTGGCACAGAGGAGACAAGCGGTAGGAAAGCATGTTTCAGAATTCTATTTTGAGATCCGAACTGTCCTAATTAACTTAGTGTATCGGTTTTGCCAGAGGTTGTTAGCTTTGGCACGTAGGAGATGTAGAGATCATAGATGGCGGCGCATCAACTGAATTCCTCGGCAATCACCAATTGCCACTAGACAACATTCCATGTCTGCATACATTCATACATGCATACATACATTCATACATGCATACATACATTCACGTGCATACATGCATACATCCACCCATGTCTGCATACATTCATACATATAGACATGCATGCATACATTCACATGTGCATACATTCACACATCCATTCATGCATATTTTCTTTCTTGATGCATACATACATTGTTTGTTTATTTACTTCCATTGTCAACGTGTTCACTTGCTTTCTTCTCTGTTTCTTGTGCTTGCTTTGTTGCTCATTGATTACTTGATGATGTGTGCTTGTGTCATTTTTGTTTGGCGTTGATTTTTTTTATTTTTGCTTTTATGTATTGCTTGCCTCCTTTGATTCTTTGAATATTCTGCTTACTTCCTTCTTGTTGTTTGCTTACATCTTTCAACATGTTTCTCTTGTTTATTTGCTATATTCTTTGTTTGTTTGATCATTGCTTGCTCATTTTATCCAAATATTTAATCAAAAAAAAATTATCCAAATATTGCTTAAATTTTTGCCTCTTTGATTCTTTGATCCGCCCCTTTTCATTCGTCATTGCTTTCTTACATTATTTCACTACTGTTCCATTATTTGTTAAGTTTAAGAGAATTTTTTTAAAATATCACCTTTATAGGGGAATTCTCTTAAATACCACCAAAACATTAAATTATAATTTTTTCCAAAAATAACACAAACCTAAAACTTAAAATTTTCACCTTCAAAACTAATTTCTAAATCCTAAACACTACAGCTTACCCTAAAACTATACCCTAAATGTAACTAGTCAACCCAAACTTATAAAAAAAATTCTACATCTTCAAAATTCAACTTTTTAAGTTTGTGATATTTTTGGAAAAATAAAACTTTTTGTGGTATTTTTGGAAAAAAAACAAATGATGGTATTTAAAAAAAAAAAAATTAACCTATCTAAGGGAATTTCTCTTTAAGTTTTGGTGTTTCCAAAAATACCACACTAAGTTTATTTTTCCAAAAATCACAAACATAAATATTTTTCCAAAGTGTAATTAATTTTTAGGTTTGGATCAATTATTTAAGATTTAGGGTATAGTTTTTAGGGATATGGGTGTTTAGGATTTACGGTTTAGTATTGATTGGAAAATTTTAGTTTTAGTTATATGATATTTTTGGAAAAAAAATAAAATTTTAACGATATTTTTAGAAAATAAAACTATTAATGATATTTTTGGAAAACCAAAAAAAAACTCAAATTAGTGGTATTTATGAGTTTTTCCTTATTAGGATAATTCTCATACATATCATTAAAATGATCTTTTTCCAAAATACCATTACAAACTTTATTTACCAATAATACCATTAAATAGATAAATTTTCCAATAATACCACAAAACTAAAACTAAATTTTTACATTTAAAACTAAATCCTAAACACTTTACCCTACCCCCTTAAACTATATACTAACTATAATAGTCAAGCTAAACCCAAAAACTAAACTTCAGACCCTTAAAAAATAATTTTTATGTTGTGGTAGTTTTGGAAAAAAAAAAGACTTCGAGTGTGGTATTTTAGAGAATTTCTTTAATTACAATTATGTTTTGAGTAATTTTCTTAAATACCACTAAAATGTGTATTTTTCCACAAATACCATTATAATTTTTATTTTCCAAAAAGCCAAAAAACTAAAACTAATTTTTTAAATATTCAAAACTTATTTTTAAATCCTAATGCCTAAACTTTTCCCGCAAAAACTATACCCTAAATATAAATAGTCAACCCAAACATAAATTTTTTTTTATGTTTATGGTATTTTTGAAAAAAAATTTTGGTATATTTATCAAAAAAATTTGGAAAAAAATTTTAAATTGTGGCATCGGAGGTAATTTCTCTTATGTTTTCATTAAAATTATTCTATTCTAAAACTATATGCATATTTTAAATATTTTGAAAATATTATGACAATATCATATAGTGAGAATATAAGATTGGATCGGTACATAATTTTATTTGATATCCCCTCTCTACCCATATATTTGTTCCTTAAAATTATAAGAAAAAGCGAGTTTGAAGAGTTTAGAGACTCTTGTGGTAAAATTAATCCCATTCACTTTTCATTAGCTTTATATACAAACATTCAAATATTTGCAGTTCAATATTTTTAATATATAAAAAAAAAAATTAATAATCTTCTAGTTACGCGAAAGAAAGACATACAAATCAATGTTAATAAATTTAAGTTTCTTACTACCATCTTTAAAGTATGATATGTTTTTGTATTCCGATTTACCCACAAAAGAAAGAAACGAGTATTACGTAATAGGACCGAAATGTCATTGTATTGTATGTAAAGTAAATTATTGTTTATTTCAAATTGAACCGGACCTTGAACATAACAACCAAACCACGACTTCAAAACTACCGATCCTACATTCTTGTGTGCATAGTTGCATACATTGATACATATACATCGATACATATATGCATACATCTATTCATACACTTAAATTTATATGAGCATACGTACATTCATGCATGACTTGCTTCTTTACTTGCATCGTCAACTTGCTTTCTTCTTCGCGTAACTTGTTTACTTGCGCAGCCGGTAGACACTTCATGCAACTTGCCACTCTGTTCTCAAAAGACTCGAGCTTTCTCTTTGTTTCTTAGACCATCTCCAAAGGGAGATTCTTAACCCAAAATTAGAGTTTATACTGATTTAAAATAAATTCAATTGTAAGTAAATGATAAAGAACGCCCCTTGCTGGAGGAGTTTAAGGAGTGGGTTCTAAAAGGACGTGGCAAAATATTATTGGTTGGGGCAAAAAGAAATATTTTTCTCTCTCTCTCTCTCCTCTCTCGGCATTCATCTCTTTTTCTTTCACTTTTCTTTTTTTCTCTCTCCCTTTTATTTAACTATAATTTATGATAAAATATTATTGTATACTCTTTTTAAGAGTTTAGGGTTGAAGATGGCCTTATTCCGCGACTACAGCTGCTGTTCAACAAGCGCCATATATTACTAATAGTTTAGTGCCTTTCCATAACTTTTGGCTTCAACTCATAACTCTCCTCTTATAGTTATGGAATTGTAGTTTCTAATTAATCCATTGTAACAGTTTTTTAAAGATACAATGTTTTTGATGGTAAATTTAAGGATAGGTGTTGTTTTATTAATGGTGGTTGCTTTTGTGTTTCAAGATAGTATTGTTTCTCTTGTAAAACTTTCCCTCGGATGTCATTATCGAATTATTAAATCGAACATGTGCAGGCTAGTTGTTTGACCGAAACGCTTGGTTCTTCACCTTGCTCGGTTTGGTAATCGTGGAGTTGAAAATTGGTAGACCAGGTCCAAAGTGTTGTGCAATTTTACAAAAGTCACATTCTCTCTCACATTTTGTGGGTCATAGAATTAGATTGGACGACCCTTATTTCATTATCATCTACCTGTTTATTGCTTATGCACGTGCATGGTTGATTTGAGATTACAATGTGGAAAGTGACTTGAGAATCACATCTACGTGAGGACGGTCCTCTCTTAGCAAGCTGCCAGCTAAAACTCTTTTGTTGTTTTCTGTTCCACAAATTTCATTATAACCTCAATAATAAGCTTAAACTTAATTTTCAGTCATTTTCCAACACTCTTAAAACTGTATTATTGATTGAAAATTACCATATCTTTGACTTTTGAAAACCCTTAACTTCTTTCTATTTACTGTTGTGAATAGACAGAAGCTATTGTATATATGTGATTGAAATAAAAGTGGAGAAGAACTAATATCACAATCAGGTTAATTAGAATCATCTTTTAACTATTTTTTTGCTGTTGTGAAAATAGTAATTTATGAAAGTTTTGTGAAAGTGTTTTGATAATGACATATCTTGAATGATTGAAATTTGTTCTTTCTTTACAAAAAAAAAAGAATCATGTGAAGGCATTGAAAGCAGCAGGAGTCTTTGTTAAGAGGCAAAGCTTTGGTGTGTTAGCTATACTACTTTGGGGCCACACCTATGGGAACAATCTGGTAACCTTAGAAACTCCTGTTTTGTCATCAGCCTCTTTGTTTTATACCAAAACTCAAATCGTTTGGATCTGATTTTTTACGAAATTAATTGATATGAGTAAAATTTGTTAACACGTTTGCTTTTCAATGGCTATGGATTATTGATTTTTTTTTTTAACTTCCTGGCATTACCTTCTTGATTGCTCCTTTCTTGAAGAGGTTAGATTAGAAATAACATATGTTCCCGTTTTGTGTTAGAACGGAGTATATGTGTAAAAGGTAGATATTATTAGCATAGCTCCAAACGGAAAACATGAACGGAGTTTGCATTAAACAAAAAACATAATCCTGTTTTTCAAGAAAGCAATGCAAATGACACATACATCTCAAAATGAAGAGGGTAGAGACAACTACATAATAGTCTGAATTGCGTATCAACTGCATAAGTTTTTAGCAGAAGAGAACATTGGAGATAGCTTAAAGAAATTACAAAAAAAAAAAAAAACCAGTATGAGAGATTGACTTATTTGGTTTTGCTCACCTTGCTTCTACTTTTAACACGACTAGCTTGAGTTGTTCTTGTTCTAGCATTGAGCTCAGATTCCTCTCCTTGGTCGCTGAATCTGGAACGAACTCTGTTGTTCTCTGTCTGATGGTTGACTTGTTTGGTATTACTATTCTTTGCAGCTACATGATTCTTGGTGTTTCTTGGAGGCTGATGAGTGCTAGGCCATGAGGATGCATCAGAAGTCATTGAGTCATCGCTCTCATTGTTTCTACTATCATCACCATCATCATCATCATCATCATCATCTTCAACCTCTTTAACATGGAAATCATCATCATCATCATCATCATCATAGACAACTTCAGAGTGATGGTTTCCATGGAAGGTGTCTTCTATGTACATAGTCCATCCTGATTCACAGCTACTCTTCTCCTCAGCACCTCCATGGATTCTTGGAGACTCCATGGCTAACTTAACTTAGCTTTCTCTTAACGTTTACGTACCTCTCACTCAGCTTTTCTGATATAGCAGCTTGTTTGTGTGTATCTCTCTCTCTTTCTCTCTCTCTCTCTCTCTTTCTCTCTCGCTCGCTGTGTTTGGCTTTTGCTCTTCACACCATCAATAAATAGCTTGTCCTCTTTTGTCTGATTTTATATTTTCCTTTCTTGTGTTTGAGTATCAGGAAAAGCCGGAGCCTATGGAATCACACTCATATAATTGAATACCGGGAGTGAGTATCACCACATGGCAATCTTAGCACCATTGTTTTCGCACAATTGAAGTACTACAAGACAAGCCATTTCAGATATATATGAAAGGAGAGAAAGAAAGGTTTGGTTAATTAGCGCTCTTCTTCAAATAAAAATAGTACACTTCTATAATAAAATTTAAAGCACACCTATATATAAATTCTCTTTTACCTTCTCTTTTTTTTTTTATAGGGAATTGAGCATAGCATAATTAGAGTTCCCAAAACACGGTTCGAACCACACCACAGAACGTTGAGGGAGACAGAAAACATCAATATACCCACCAAACCAAAGTTTATCTGTTTTGCTCATAAGTGATGTGTAAGCAATGCTTATTGGTTAACACACTTGTCTTTTTTGTTTCTTTATAATTTTCTTTTTATTGATGATAGCCATATGATAGGAGGAGCGAGGAAGAGGATAGCTACACAAAACATTTACTAGTTTTTACTTCCCTATCTCTCTCTCTCTCTCTCTCTCTCTCTTTTTCTTTCACTGGGGTGTAATCAATCTCACAACTATAAAAGACCAGCTTTTGAGGTGGAAATGAGATAAGACCCACTCAACAAACAAGAAGGAATATGTTGGAAACCCATTTTCTTAATTAGGTTAGGAGCTGTTCCTCTTCCTCATTCCTTTAATACTCTTCTTCCCTCCCAGTCCTGTCTTGGTCATAAAAAGTGTTGCAGCCTTTTGTTGTTCCTCTCTCCTCTCTCTCTCTATCCCATATAATAGTTGTTTTCTTTTGCATTGAAGGTTATTTGTTTTGTGCATTTACTTCTATTCTTGAGGAACATGACAAAGCAGAGATAAGTATCAACTGTGGTGAAAATAGTAAAGAACTATAAAAAACGATCTGTATTGTTTCTAATGTATGATATGATGGTTTCACCTTAAGGCATTCTCTTTTTTTTTTTTTTTTTTTACAGTGATTGGAATCTATCTTGGTTACATACAGCTAAGCAAAAAAAAAAGATCAAGAAAATGAATCCATATAACATTAAAAACGGTGATGGTTGTAAGAGACTTTGACCCCTCTTCGAGCATTTAAGTGTAAATCAGTTTTTGGCCTTTATGATATTTTTTTGATCCTCTCATAGTACAAATAATAATACTCAGTGTGGGTCTCACGAGTGGAGATGTATTAGGATGTATTAGAATTGTACACATCGTTAATGCCTCCAAAGCTTTGTTTTCTTTTAGGGTCTCACCTTTGGATTTTCTCATGTGGGTCGTCTTTGTACTATCATTCATCCTCCTACACGTGTGAGTACTGTTTTCTCTCTATAATATCCTTTGTTTGATTAGTAAACACACACACACACACACACACACCTTTAGGTATTTGTTATTATCTTACACTTAGGTGGGTGAGTAGTAGTTGGGATTTGAGAACTTTGTATTGGCTTCTTTGTCATTCTCACATTGATATGTTCTAGAATATTACTTATGTTGTTAAGAGATGAAGTCAATGAACTTATTAGGAGTTGTATGCTTAATTTGTGATGATGATTTGGTGGTTTTGTTGAAAGGTTGATAAAAGAAGAGAAGTGGGTATGTCCCTTAGCACCAAACTTTTAGCTTTACTTTGAATGCCTGCTTTTGTCAGGTATACTTCCCCATGTATTCATTTGTCTCTTACTTCATAAGTCTCCCATGTGATATGAAATCATATATATTGTATCTATTTATATGTATATACTTTGGAAACTTCTCTCATTTAAATTAGACACACCACTATACTTGTTAAAGCCTTTTTTCATGATTTGGTTTCCATCTTAGATAAGATGACAAAATATCCCTGCTGTAACATCATACCTTTCGATTAGATTTGATTTCTCTCGACCCAACTCTTTTTTTCTTTTTTTTTGTTGCTTTGGTGGTACCATGGTTTTCCAAAAAGTTCAATTATTGAATATAATAGATTTATTGGTTTCAGAATTCTCTGCTGTTACTGTTTTTTATTTTTATTTTTAAAGATAACATTTTCTTGTAGAGTGTACATGTTCCTAACCTTCTAACATAGCAATCATAACTCAATTAGAATGAAAATGTAGATAAGTTAAGATCGTAGATTTGTAAATTGTAATCATTTTGGAAACACATTGTAAAAATTATAAATACATAAACGTCAAGTCAATTGTAGTAAAGAGAAAAAAAAAACGTCAAGTCAAATACGGTCGAGTCTCTCTAGAGTTCATAGATTAGATTCAGTCGGGTTTAATGTGTTTGATCTTCTTGAAAAATGTTTCTTTGGTCTCACATGACAACCATTAAATTTTGCATCAGTTTGTGTTTCCTAGTGCTCCCAAAATTTGAGTTTCTAAATTGAAATTATATTGAATTACAAAGAACATTGAAATCAAACAGAATGGTGTGCTTTTGATGTAAGTGAATGGTTTTTGAAGTTGTACATCTAAACTTGGTAGTGGTGATGATATGTCAGCCAAATGTTTCTTTTTAATTTACATCTCTCATTCTCTTAAGGCTTATGGTACTACTACCTATGGTCCCATTGTAAGTAGATGACCAATTTCAATCACTCGTTAACCATGATAAGGTTGTAAACAAAGAACTCCATAAAAAGAGAGATAAGTTGAAAAAAATCAGATTTGAAAACATACAAAGACAACCGAGCAGAGCATCGTTGAAGGTTTCTAGTATATGGTCCAACCAAAGTCAAGGTCGATAATCACATTGGATGAGTTGACGTCAGTGTGAGCTTTTTGGCTGGATGAATGAAACTTACGCGTTACACATGCTAGTGTTAACCGCAATAACATTTTTTCCCTAAACATTCTGAAACAAAAAATTATTACAAGTCATTGGTTAAAATGTTAAAAAACAAAATGGCCCATGCAGGTTTCGAACCTGCGACCTTCGCGTTATTAGCACGACGCTCTAACCAACTGAGCTAATGGGCCTTTTTGCTACGAGATACCTTACTTTATTCTCTTAACTTGTAGTGCATCAGTGTCTCCTACTACAACTACACGTCTATACCAGAACCACCTAACACAAGTTTCTTCTCCCCAACAAATTATGTAGATCTGCCATTCTTATAACCTAGTTTTTTTAACCGTTACCAAGACTGAAACAGATCTTAAAATAACATCAAGTTGACGGCAAAATAAAAAATAAGTTTTTAAGTTTTACCGAAGATCGTTGTTAATACAACGTCGTTATCATTTTGAAAACTATTTTGAGGTTTTTTTAAAAATTAATCGTATAATTCAAGGTGACGCCAAAGAGTAGATCATATTTTCCCTCCTACCTTTTGATCTAGATTTCGTTACTGGAAAAAGGAAAACACAGATGAAGGAGACCAAAATACTTAACTAGGAATGATATGTGACCAAATTTTTATTTACATTATTATGTAGTAAAACTTTGCAAAAGAAATTTGTTGAACAAGAAGTAAGTAAGTACTAGATCATATTGTAGTGCCAAATAATATAAAAACGGTTGAACAAATTATACAAAAGTACTAGATTTGTTTCAAAAATCACTCTGGATTTTGATAAACATATTTGCAACGTTTGTAAACACATACGAACAAAAAAATTATGCCTTTTAAAATTAAAAATAGGAGAAAAATGTGGATATTAGTCCACCTTATGGTAATGTAAGATTTTGGTTTGGTAATCATCACTAGTATTCAAATAAATTTTCATCTAAGGGTCATAGGAAACCCCAACAACCATCTTACAAAATTAGTTGCATCTCACTTGACCTACCTCTTAAGACCCTTGTAACACAAGAAAACTAAACACACTACGATGCCTTCTTCTCAAAAACTTATATATCTCTTTGAAGTCCCAACCATTTTCTCTAACTCCTCATCTCTCCCACAAACACATTTTTCTCATCTCAAAAATTGGATCAAAAAGGTTTCATCAGAAAGAAGAACTATGAAACTCCTCCTTGTGTTCATAATGGTTCACACCATCTTTATCCCCTGTTTTTCCTTTGACATACCAACTTTATTACCTGCTTTTCCTTTAACCCTAGATTATTACAAGTCTACTTGTCCGACAGTCTTTGACGTCATCAAGAAAGAAATGGAATGCATAGTGAAGGAAGATCCTAGAAATGCAGCCATACTTATTCGTTTACACTTCCACGACTGCTTTGTCCAAGTAAGTACTCATTCACACACCTTTCTTGAAATACAAGAAATCGTTCAACAGAGGAAATTACGAACATTTTACATGATATTTACCTGAGAGGGGTTCCTTAATTTATGCTACGAATGGTTAATTAGTTTTCAAAGTTTCAAAATGTTATTACAGGGATGCGATGGATCAGTGTTGCTAGACGAAACAGAAACACTCAAGGGAGAGAAGAAAGCTTCTCCCAACATAAACTCATTGAAAGGATACGAAATTATAGACAGACTCAAGAACATAATCGAATCCGAATGTCCTGGAGTCGTTTCCTGCGCTGATCTTCTCACAATCAGTGCTAGAGATGCTACAATCCTGGTAAATAAACAAGACTTAGAAACATACTCTCTCATATAAATTATGAAATAAAGAAACATCTAAAATTGTGGTTTGAAGGTGGGTGGACCTTACTGGGATGTTCTTGTGGGAAGAAACGATTCAAAATCAGCAAGTTACGCGCATGCCACAACAAACCTTCCAACTCCAGATGAGAGTTTACTCAGCATCGTCGCTAAGTTTTATTCTCAGGGTCTCTCTGTTGAAGACATGGTCGCTCTTATAGGTATTGTGGCAATCTAATTAAACCGGACAATTAATTTTTTGGTAACTGTGCTAAACCGGATTGCGAAAACCCTAACTTAACGAACAATCTATGTAGGAGCTCACACGGTCGGAATGGCACAATGTCGGAACTTTAGATCCCGGATCTATGGAGATTTTCAAGTGACGTCAGCCCTAAATCCACTATCGGTGACGTACGTGGCAAGTCTCCGAAAGATATGTCCCGCGAACAGCGGAGAAGGTGATAGCAATGTGGCGGCAATGGACAACGTGACGCCGAATCTCTTCGATAACTCGTTCTACCACACGCTGCTAAGAGGAGAAGGGTTGTTGAACTCGGACCAGGCTATGTACACGAGCGTGTTCGGGATACAAACTCGGAAGATAGTGAGCAAGTACGCGGAGAATCCTGTGGCGTTCTTCGAGCAATTCTCTAAGTCGATGGTGAAGATGGGGAACATTTTGAACCCTTCTGGAGGAGAAGTTAGAAGAAATTGCCGATTCGTGAATACATGAAAACTTCAACAACAAGGAATAAGCTATTTCCGATATTTTTACTTATTTAAGAAAGCGAAAAAAGGTCAACCGAAATTTATTACTATTTTAACTATTTTAAAAAACATATCATAGGTTCTTGAATGTTTAAAGCTGATACGTAATCTTTTAGAGATTTTCAAATGATTTGCGTCTTATATATGTTGTTTGGTTTCGACTCCATATATTGAATTTTATGTGTGGTACACAAATTGCAAATTGCACTTTCATATATAATGAATACCAAAAGGAAGTGGTTCACAAATTGCACTTTGCAAACCGAGATCGCGCTCGTGTGATTACAAAAGTATTGACTTTAAGTATCTTAAAAAAAATCTGTAAAAAAAATTATTGAGTCTATATAAAAGATCAAATAATATATATATCAAAAATCTCAACGGTGTCCACTTTTTGCCGTCTCCAGCTTAAGTGTATCGAACCTTGATATTTTTACCTAGTTTGCTAATCCACATAATAAGCTCCAGTTTCTCCTATTTACATATATTACACAAACCAACTACATCTAACCCATTCTAAATGATTTGAAACATCATCTTAGTACAAAATGTAATTTCTAAAAAGTCTAGTTGAAAAACTAATGTATTCATTCTCCTATAACTGATTCCTTCTTCGCTTTGTAGGCTGGCCAAGTTTGCTATGTCTCAGTTTGTGTTTCATGTTCGACTTGTCAAGCTCCTTTTGAGCCTTTTGAGCTACATATGTTTTGTCAAAGTTATAGTGGCACCAAGTATGTACATCTCTTTTGTCAAAGTAAGTATTTATACTTTGTATCTAAACCAACAAAAATTATCTTTTTAAGGAACAAATTATATTTATGGTTAATTCTGTTAAATTTGGTCCTTGCATTAGTTTTTTTGTTTTGTTTTGGGCAAATACTAAACATTGTAGTTTAGTTGAAATATATTTTTGTTTTTAAATTAATAGACTTCAGTCATCAGTTACTTCTTTTTATTTTGACAACTAGTTATTTTTTTTTTGAGTAATAACTCATAGTCTCATATACTAATTTGTTAAATGTATAATTAAAAAAATAATAACTACGTTAAATGTACCGAACGTTATTTTATAAATAGATTGTCTCGTTGGTTTGAGAACGAAACTTAACTTTGTAGTCTTAAACCTTGCGTTCTTATACATAATTAACTTTAGTAGTCTCATTTCTAAAAGTCAAATCCTAAAAAACTTAAATTAATTTTTTGATAATTTCTAGTGGTTAGATATGTTCAAAAAACTTTGGAACAACATGAAAGAAGCACAAAACTAGTGCTTTAGTTTTGACTATGAAGTGGTGAAGCTAGAAAAAGCGCCTCGAAGTGCATCCATCATTCATGCCTTAACCTCCCCAAGATTGGCCAAGAAATGCAAAGATTACTATGTGAGAGATCATTAAGACACGTCCAAGACACCTATGAGGCTATATATGAGCATCCTTTGGTTTTCAAGGAAGACAATAATGTCATTGTGCTGATTAAATAACCAAAAGGCTTCCTCTTTTCGATTTATTATCCGGTTAGTTGTATAAGATAAACGTACTCTTAATTGGGTTTGTATAATTGTTAGGACGAATTATCGCAAAAAAAAAAAGGTGACATTGCCATTGACAATGCATTCTATTTACGGCTTCTCTCATGTTTTTTTTTTTTGTTTTTTTTTTGTCTTGTCCTCTTTTTCTAAATACAACTTAGCAAGAATCACAAACCTATAACTTGAAACATTAAAATTTAGAAAGTAAAAAAATATGAAAAACATAAAACGGAAAAATAAGAAAAAATTGTCACAAGGCATTGATTATGGCTTTCTTCTTGGAACACCGTAACCCAAATATGTCATCAGCATTCTGTCCAACAGCATCCTGTCCAACAGTATTCTATCCAACAGAGGGTAACAACTAAGAACTGTAATGTTGTGTTAGTGGTAGAATTTGTTTTGCTAGTTATTGATAAAAATGTATTTGTGTTCTATAATATATTGACTCAAATTTCAACGTTTCAATTTTACATCTCTTTTGTAAAAGTTATTTGCTTTGTATCTAAACCAAAAAAAAAAAAATTGAAAACAAATATGGTACACATAACGAGCTTATTTTTCATGATTAGCTCTATTAAATATGGTCAAAAAAACATTTGATTTATTATGCAGTCGTGAGTCGTATTAGATCAATGTACTCTTAATTGGGTTTGTATAATTGTGAGGATGAATTTTCACACAAAAAAAAAAAAATTGACAATAACTATGCATTCTATTTACGACTTTTTTTTTTTTTTAAGGTTCTTGTCCTCTTTTTCTAAATACAACTTAGCAAGAATCACAAACCTACAAAACATTAAAAACTAGAAAGAAAAAAATATGAAAAAACATAAAATGGAAGAAGAAGAAAAAAATGTCACAAAGCATTGATTATGGCCTGCTTCTTAGAACACCGTAACCCAAACATGTCATCAGCATCATCTCGAGATCTCTTTCTACCGCAAAGGGCTACAACGTCGTTTGGCTTCACAGTATTCACATTAAAGATATCAACTCCGAAAAGCCTAACCACTACCTGAACCGGTGTTTCCCTCGGACCAGACCGAACTTTCCAATCGATATAAAGCTGCCGGTCTAGTCCGGTCGATCTCTCGAAAGTAACAACATCACCGGCTCGGAGATTCTTCTCCTTGACGAATCTACTCCATCCCTTGGTCAACACGTAACTTTGACTACTGTTCCAGTAAGAGTAACGGAACCTCCACACTTTGCCGTTCACGTCTTCGAAGTTTATCAAAACGCCTTTAGTCACTGACGACGGTGACTTTGACGGTAACGGAAAGTGTTTCTCGGCGTGTTGTTTAGGTATCACGAGACGGTTCAGCTTCCCTACGTCGCTAGGCGTTACAGCTTTCTCGAAGAGCACTTCACGCGTCTTCAAAACGTTGTCGTTTGTTACCATACTAGATCCGTTACGTTGTGTTCCGTTGGCGTCAAGGGAGACAAACAAACGGCGTTTGTTGTTTTGTTCAAGCTCGTCGGCGTAAGTGTGTTTCCTTAACATGTCGACGATCTCTGCCTTTGAGTGAACTTCAAGAAAAGCTAAATCGCCGTCTTCGAGGAGGGTCTTGAAGTTGACGACGGCGTCGCGGCCGCGGAATCTAAGGGCGGCTATGTCGTAGGAGCGAGCAGCTTCTTCTTGCTCGTTGAAAGTGCCGAGCCATACTCGTTGGTGCTTCTCGTAAATCTGAGCTCCCCATCTTCCGTTAGGCTGAGGAACCACGCCTTTGTATTTAGACGACGGTAGCTTTCGTGACTCCGTCTCCACGCCGTTATCCGGATCCAACACGATGCTGCTTCCACCGCTTCCCATCCGGTAAAGACGTAACGCCGTCGCCGGAGGAGGAGGAGGAGGAGGAGGAGAGAGTTTCTTGGCTGTGGTGGTGGAGAAAGATTCCGAAGTGGATGAACTTATCTCTTCTATGCAACTAGAATCCATATTCTTTTGTTTCAGTAATTTCTTGAAGATTCTGACCAAACCAAGAAACACAAATTATAACCTTCTAACAAAGAAATAAAATGAAAGAAACACAAATTAGGTGAGAGAGAGATTTGGGTGACGTTGTTGCTTTTATTCCTATTCTTTGGTTCACGTATTTATATACAGAGACATATGATGATATGATGAATGGACGAGGCAAGTGCATGTACATGTACCTTTTATAAAATGTATCTAATTAGTTTTATGTTTTTAGAGTTAAAAATTTTATTGCTTTATGAAAAAAAAGATTGTCAAATTGAGAAAATGGTTACGTGGGGTCAACGCTTACAAAGATCGCAAAATTAACTTCGAAGGAAGTTTCCGAGAAGGGCAGAACCAAAAAAATGTAGTACTACGGCTTTTCTATTTTTTGTACGTTTTTTGTTATGTCCATTATTGAGAAACATTTTGTTCAACGACGTAAATACATTTTTCTTACAATACATATATAACCACGTACTTTCATCACATAAAGCCTTTTCATCAATCATCATATAAGATTTAATTATCACTATAGTCGAATGGTTTATTTTGTTTGCATGGATAACCAAATTTTGGGTTTTACAACTCATTGTTCCCGGGAAAAAAGAAAGATATTTCATATAGACTAGAGATATGGTTAAGCATTAACTCTCGATTTTATTCATGGAATCATATGATAAAAAGGGTTATATTCATATATAGATGCAATGCATTGACTCTAAGTATTAATTCTCGATTATATTCATAGATCAGTGCATTGATACATTGACATATTCGCGTTAAATTCATATCAAAGTTTATATACAAACTACAAACACAAACTAGCACTAACGAGTTGTGAAATTCTCAGTGTTATGGAGAGAAATGGTGTGGCTAAATATCGGATTCAACAATCCAAATATCGTTTAAACTTTTATAGGTTTGCTACATTGACATACATATAAGAGTCAGAGATTGACAAAAAAGGAAGTTATAACAAAAGAAAATAAAAAGTCAGAGAAAAGGATTAACAATAAAATTAAGTCAGAGTTTTGACGAAATTAAAAAAAAAAAAAAGACAAGAACATAGAAAACGAATAAACCAATGGCAATGGGTTACATGGTAAATAATGGGACCAAGCAAGAGGGTCAAGTGGGATGGGGGCTCACATGAAAGACCTATCCTCTCTTCTTTTCTCTTTTTAGTTCATCCCCCTTCGAAGCAATTCTGAAGATATTTTATTCACCATCTTTATATGTTTTGCTTGTTTAAATAATTTTGTAAATTGATTAGAAAAATAAAAATAAAAATAAAATATAAGAGACCTTTTGGATAGGTAAAAGGATTACGATCTTATCTGATACTGTTGTCTCGTACACTATCGTGACATAATCTGCTTTCTTTATGTTTTTCAGTTTCCTTCTTAATTTTTAGCTATTTTTGTTGTCTACATCAATAGGAAATGTATGTATCTAACATATAACCATATTTCTAATTTATTATCGATGTACGTAATTCTATATATATAGAAAGAAAGATCAATGGAGTAATATATAGTAGACATGGCGTGATGTTCCCGCTTGGGAGGGATCGGAGACAATTTGATGAATTAAGCTTATCCAACCAAATATTTTTGAAACACTCCAACGTTACTATGTCTTTATTTTCAGACCATCCGTGATTATAATCTTGATCACGACGTACCATATTTTCTAGTTTCTAGAATGAACAATTATGTATATATTTTTTGAAACATGAACAATTATTTTGTGTTTGTAATCTTTCCACAATCTTAGTAATCATATCTATGGCGTCTGAATCGAACGAGAAAAATTTCTACCATACCAAGTGAATTTAAAAGTTCCACATCGTATATATCTTTTTTTTTGTTTTTGAATCATAATTACTTTGACGATATCATCCATATATGTGTTCTGATACTAGTCCAACTTATATGAATTTGGTGAAGAAATAAATATTATATATATATATATATATATATGTACACACACACACACATATATATATATATATATATATATATATATATATTTTGAACCCATATCTATTTAAACGCTAGTATACACATGCATGACACACATATATATGCATATTATCACCTCTCATTATTTCAACACATTCAATTTGTCAATAAATATGACACTTCCATAATCATCCGAATCACATGATAAGTTTGAATGCTGAATCAGTAGTAATCATAATAACCAACATCAGAGAATTAGAGAAAATCGTTAAAATGTAGAGAACTGTTTTGAAAGGAGAAAATAATAATTATTTGAAAAACAAGAAAAAGTCCATGCACGTAGGAAACACCGAGCGGGGCAAAGAGGTCGCATATGTGTTTGCTTGTCAACAATTTGGAGATGCAACTAGTAAGAAAACTTTGTGATATACGTATATATTTAAAGAACGAAATAGTCAGCTCCATCATTTTCATTGCTTAAGCAACATATATGGACCCAAACCTCATCTCACCCTAATTTTAGTCATATTCTTATTCCATCTCAGCCCTTGATTTTGGATTCTTATCCTCCATCGTTGAGATCGCACAGTTTTGGTAAGAGATAAAGACTTACATATATGTATTTATTTATTGACATTTTTTCGTATTTCAATCTTCAGCTAATCAGACCAACTTGGCTAAATTCATTTTAATTCTGGTGGATTAATGAACCTCGTGGCCTAGTTTAGGCCACTAGAACTAACTTAATTAAGTAAAATACTGTGGCTCCCCTACATATACTTAATTGGATAAAAATATGAAAAGGCGAGAAAATAAAATATTAATTAGCGTGCGATTAATTAAATATGAATAATATACACATCGAGAACACAATTATTTGATTGATCTGCATAAAGATTATTACTCAAGAATTATTATGTCTCATTATTATATTACTTGTAAGTTGCAGCAGCCGCTCCATATCTAGTTTTTATGATCTACCTAACCCTAACCCATGAATCTATCATAGCATCGATGTAATTGGCTGATTGATTCATGTCTAACCAATAAAACTCACCAGAAACAAAATACACTTGAAATTTTATCGAATCAATACTTTAACTTAAAGTAACTATCTGGAGTTGAAGCGAGACTTTGTCCAACTTGATGTTCTGTTCATAAAGCTGAGGAAAACTTTAAATATAAATAAATAAATGAAAAAGGAAAAAGTAAACATAGTATAAACCTGATTAATTTCAGCTAATCAAGTGACTTAATTAGTGATTAGTATGATGAGAATATCATGTGAGAGGCTAAATGAAATGAGAGAATATGTTTGAATGTATCTTTTGATCACACGTATCCACGTCGACACCGACAAGCTGTATATGTTTGTGCGTACATTGTGGTCAATGTTCTTACTGATTCGCTCCACATGTTAGTAATGCTAATAAAATTGTTTTTATGTGTACAAGTTGTGGGCTTATTGTAACTTGCAATATCATATTGGTTGTAATAATAATATCTGTCATATGTGATCTCGTTATGTCATTGGTTGTTAAGTGGTAAACCAAATACAAATAGTCAAGTGATGTATATTTGTTATTTCTTCTTAATTTTTTTTATAAAGTCATCAGATTGGCTGCATTAAATCTTTGAACATTCTGATATCAGAACATCCAACAAAAACATGTACAACTATACAAGAATTTAGAGCCCATTTTGTTTTTTTCTTCCTCTATCAAATACTGATAATTGTTATATCGAACTTTTGGCTTTGGGAATGCGTCGGTCAATTGCGTGACGAACTTTACTCCAGTTCAGTGCAGTCATTATTCTATAGAATGATCAGTATATTACTTCGGTATGAAGTAGCATCATATAAGTATACACTAGTATTACTCTATTAGTTACGTTAAAGACTTCAAAGTTTAGAAGCACTCATTTCAAACAATTACGAAGGAAAACAAAAAAAAACAATCAAGTACTGTATCTTGCAAACAAGGATTGTGAAAACAAATAGCTTACGTGCATCGAGGTCAATGAAGTAAAAACAATATTGTTGAATACAGTAACAGTAGTTGTCATATAATTATTGTACGGAATCGGTCAAAACACTTCATCAAGAAAGTTGATTTCTATGATATGTTTAACTTAAATTATTTCAACGGTTTAAATACTTTAATGGTGGTGTATGACTTTGTGATAAAAAAAAGAAAGTCAATGAAAGTAATTACGTTTCAGAGAAAGACTAAAGATAAACATATTTACACTCAAACTTAGGATTAAAACTTGAGTATTAGCTTTAAAAGTTTTAATCGATTTATTGATGAGGAGATAGTTTTGTTCTTGATGAGAAAAAAACGTCAATTTCTTCATCTTGGTTAAATAATTGGACCAAAAACTTAGTTTTATTATTGTATTGTGCTTCCATATTTTTAATCATTGCTAAACTAGTTTTCATTATCAATGAAATAGTTACAATTTAGCAAAAAAAAAATGTGAAAAACAAAAAGAATAACATGAATTCTTTTCTCTTCAATATTCCTAAGAATTTACACTTCATATCATTAATGGGCCGCAGTTTACAAAAAAAATCATAAATGGGCCGAAAATAAGCCCATATTGAAGAAACCTTTACAATATATCCGAACCTAATTTATAGTCCACGTGTCATTAGTGGTGTAAATCTAATAAGTACGCAAAAAAAAAAATTTATTCAAAACGAAAAAAGAAACTAGTGGTGCGAAATCAACGACGTTTAGGGAATTTTGGTTTTTTGTCTTTCAAAAAAAAAAAAAAAACTGAACTCTTCCGGTGAAAAATCTTGGCCATGGCTACAATTTCTCCGGGAGGAGCTTACATCGGAACTCCCTCACCGTTTCTCGGCAAGAAACTTAAACCCAAACCGTTTTCTTTAACATCACCGATTTCGAATTCTAAACAAACGGTGAAGCTCAATTCCGATTGCCGTGCTCAATTGATCGATGCAGTTCACAATCTCTTCGTCGGAGTTGGTGTCGGACTTCCATGTACGGTGATGGAGTGTGGTGATATGATCTATCGCAGTACCTTGCCGAAATCGAATGGTTTAACGATCACTGCTCCTGGAGTGGCTTTAGCTCTCACTGCTCTCTCGTATCTTTGGGCCACACCTGGCGTTGCTCCTGGGTTTTTCGATATGTTTGTTCTGGCTTTCGTTGAGAGATTGTTTAGACCTACGTTTAGGAAGGTTCATATGGATGATGATTTGAGCTGTCTTTTTTATTTGTTTTTGGGTTCTTCTCTTGGTTTGATTGATTGATGTGATTAGGTTTTGGTTTTTGTCAGGATGATTTCGTTTTGGGGAAGAAATTAGGGGAAGGTTCGTTTGGTGTTGTGTATAGAGTCTCATCATCTAAGAAACGTTCTAATGAGGTAAAAACAAGTTGGTTTTAATCAAATGATTCAAGTTGTTTAAATCTGCAAAGTGAGGATAAGTTTTGGTGATGTATGTTATTTTGGTTATTGATAGGAGGGTGAGTATGTATTGAAGAAGGCAACTGAATATGGTGCAGTGGAAATTTGGATGAACGAAAGGGTTCGAAGAGCTTGTGGTAATAGTTGTGCTGATTTTGTTTATGGATTTCTCGAGGTAAGTTCTCTTCTTTGTAATTGACATTTTCCCTCAAGTTTTCTAGGTTTATGATTTTTTTTGTTTGTCAATACCATTGCAGAAGTCTTCAAAGAAAGGACCTGAATATTGGTTGTTGTGGAAATATGAAGGAGAATCAACACTTGCTGGTTTGCTGCAGAGTAAAGAATTTCCTTATAATGTATGAAAATGTTCTTGTTTATATCCTCTTTTGCATTTATCTCCTACATGTTGTCACATTTCTATGGCAATGGTGTAGGTAGAAACTATCATCCTTGGGAAAGTCCAAAACTTGCCTAAAGGGTTGGAAAGAGAAAACAAAATTATTCAGACTATCATGAGGCAACTCTTGTTTGCATTGGATGGTCTTCACTCAACTGGGATTGTCCATAGGGATGTGAAGCCTCAGAACATTATATTCTCAGAAGGTAAATGATCTTAGTTCTTGAATCAATTCGAGCAAGGAACCCAATGAAAGGATGAGGACATGCATTTTTGTGTCCACTGAAAATTGAGCAGGTTCTCGTTCTTTCAAGATCATCGATCTTGGAGCTGCAGCTGATTTGAGAGTGGGAATTAACTACATTCCAAAAGAGTTTCTCCTGGATCCAAGGTCTTTCTCTTTCAAAAAATTGTATCTTTCTCTGCCAAGGATCATAAATATGAACATTTTTGTTGTTGTAAACCCGCAATATAAGTATCTTTCTTTTCGGCTTGTTGCTTTCAGGTATGCAGCACCTGAGCAATACATCATGAGCACCCAAACTCCATCTGCACCTTCAGCCCCTGTTGCAGCTGCACTTTCCCCTGTCCTGTGGCAGGTGTAAACTTAGTTGTGGATTATACTATCTTAATTGTCATAAAGCTATCCTCTTACTTCAGGGCTAGATTTTGATGTATACGGTTTGTTCCAAACAGATGAATTTACCTGACAGGTTTGACATCTACAGCATTGGCCTCATCTTCCTTCAAATGGTAAGTAGCAAACCACCAATCGCTTTTAGTTTTCTCTGAGTTCTGACTCAGGCATGTTCAAGTTCAACTATCTTTTCGTAGATAGTCAGTGTAATCTGGTTGTATCTATTTTTGTTAAGATTGTGTTCATCAACTGTCGATGCCATATTAGCGACTCAGTCAGTGACTAGAATTAGAGTAAATTGGAGATGCTTCAGGTTTTGACTTCCTAGGGGCCTTGAGTATTTTGTGGTTTGGGCCTTAGGAAAGTAAGGGATGCTTTTGAAATTCTTGGATTTTAGGTTTAGTTCTGTTGTTTGGAGTGTTCTTGGTTTTATAGTACCCTACTCGATTACAAGATCAGAAACCATTTTCGTTCTTATTAGTTTCCTTGTGTCGGGAAATGTATCCATCGTTTTATGTTGACGTTCTTGCCATACTTATTGTTCCAGGCATTCCCATCCTTACGATCTGACAGCAACCTCATTCAGTTCAACCGCCAGTTAAAAAGATGCGAGTATGACTTAACTGCTTGGAGAAAATTAGTGGAGCCTCGTGCAAATGCTGATCTCCGTAGAGGGTTTGAGCTATTAGACCTAGACAATGGCATCGGCTGGGAACTTCTTACATCAATGGTCAGATACAAAGCAAGGCAAAGAATCAGTGCAAAAGCAGCTCTTGCTCACCCATATTTTGATAGACAAGGATTACTTGCGTTGTCTGTCATGCAAAACTTAAGGATGCAGTACTTCAGGGCTACACAACAGGACTACAGTGAAGCAGCAAATTGGGTGATTCAGTTAATGGCAAAAAATGGGACAGAAAAAGATGGCGGATTCACAGAAACACAACTCCAAGAACTCAGGGTTTGTTGTGAATCTACACTCTTTCATTTCTTCAAGCACCCAAGTTTGATACCCAACCGATTTATTTTCTCTTTTGTATTATTGTAGGAGAAAGAGCCTCGAAAGAAGGCGAGTGCGCAGAGAAACGCTCTTGCATCAGCACTTAGGCTCCAGAGAAAGCTTGTAAAAACAGTTACAGAGACTATAGATGAGATTAGTGATGGCCGCAAGACCGTGTGGTGGAACCGATGGATCCCCAGAGAGGAGTGAGGACAGAGTCAACTTACGATAAATATCATTTTCATTTTCGTTCCGATATTGTAAATCTCAAATGTATATCTTTATTAGCCCTTAGTAAAAAAAATTCTACTACTTGTAAAAATCAAGTAACCTTAAAGAAAACATTGTACTGTAGTCTCTGACTCTGTCTCTGAAGTTTCAGAACACTTGTGAATACTTGTTGATGTCATAGGAATATGTGAAACCGTCAATTAAAAAAAGAAGAACAGAAGACAGGTTTCTTGAACAGTACGTTACCCCTTCGGGGTTCGGACACTGAGAAACTATGAGTTCCGCACGAAGATTCAGAGAAGTCACTGGTCAAGCAATTTAGCTTTGCTGGCTCTCGAGGTAAGTGTTTGTCTATTTTTAATGTGTCTACACAAAATCCTCCGTACGCCATCGAAGCTGGAGTCGTTTCTCTCACTCAAACTTTTTTTCTTCACTCAAGCACATGCGTTTAATACTTTACTATAAAGATAACTCTTGATTTCAAGTTAAGAACTAAGATGAGAACACAATATTTTACACAATAACATTTAACAGTTATTGTAGTAAGCCCTTGTCACCATACTCTAGAGAATAGTGAAATGATCAAACATTTTAGCATAAATGATCAAACATTTTAGCATAAATGATCAAACATTTTAGCATAAATGATCGAATAAGTAATAAACATTTTCGCATACCAACTAGTAGAATCACTTTTTCAAACACGCAAAATCATCAAAAAGTTTATATTTTCCACGTTGTGAAACCCGTATAGGAATGGTATATATGATTCATGAATGTAGTTAGTTGTTTGAGCTTGTTGGATCTAAAAGGTATAATAATAATGATCAATCTCACGTTTATCCATCTCACAAAGCACACGTACGTAACTTTTAATACTCATTTTATGTATACAGAAACAGTAGTAAACTAATTCTTAAAACGTGGTTAGAACCACGAGGGGGTGAAGAAAAAGTTGGCTCACAAAAGAACGACAAGATTTTCAAAGAAAGAAGAATGACAGAGAGACCAACTCACATAATCAAAACCATAGATTAAAAAATAAAAAGATAAGTGTAACTTTTACTAGTACTGAGTAAAGACTTGTTCTTTTAGACGACCAAAAGCTAAATGCTAAAGGCATTTTGTGAATCACGAGAACCTCACGTGCGGTTCCACTCTTTATGTTCGAGGACTTCACTATAACCAATGACAACAGCCCGTAAACCACATCAAACCACACCTAGCTCTACTTGGTTAACTGTGTAGCTAATTATTTTAATTAACTCCAATCTGTTAACTGTGATATAGCTGTAGTGTATGAGATAATGAAATTTTTCAATGTTAATTTCAGTTACCTTTGGTGTGAATGTGAAAGAAGAAGACGGTTAACTCCACAAATCATACCAACTATTTTGTCGATCGGTTTAGGTAAGAGAGATTTGTTGATAGAATCTCAATTATATATTAGAAGAATCTATAATTTAGGATTATGCCACCTAATTAACGCCTAACTGTCCCACATTTAGTTATAGTTTGGTCTTTAAATACTGCTATTGACGTTTTTGTTTAATGTTTCTCTCACCAATTTCGGCGCAAATGTATTTTTAAATATACTCTATAGTATTAATTCCATTATAATTATTTGTCTAAAAATAATTGGAAAAAAAAAAACAATAGACTACAAATAAATTGCGATCCTTTGAATATTTCTCCATGTGGCTGCAAGATTTCAGTGTATATTACTTATTAACTAGAATTGGTTCCTATCACTAGCTCACAAAAGCAATAGTATTAATTAGTCTTACGTCTTCTATTAATCAAAGGGAATAAAATGTTAAGTCTTCATTATCAATCACAATCAGTTTTAAAACTCAAATATATATATGAATTATATGTTGATGATGATATATGTTCCGGGGACCAAAGCTACTTGTCGATTTTGGATGGTTAGTATAGTATAGTAGTTCCCGACAAGTTTGGTAGGTCATATCTTTTGCAAACGTCTCTATTTCGGGTTGGCATTTCAATCTTTAACCACAAAGTTTATAGCAACTGATCATATACTTCAAATATATTTTAGACAAAACCTTATCAAAAGAGACTGATACACTTAGGATATATATTTTAGACAAAACCCGAAATGACAAAAGACTAAAACGGATCGAAATCGCATTAAAAAGTAAGTATTGACTCACTTTAAACCGGTGTAGTATTAATAATTTGGTTTAATGTTTTCATGAAGAGAGATAAGCATGTGATAGTGGGATAAATAACCATAATTAGGGCAAAGATTCCTTGAAAGGTTTGGGTCCACGTGGGTATGGGAGGGGCACAGTGTCCGGTGGGTTAGGGAACAGTGCACAAACCCCTCCAAAGGACCCACTCGTTGCCTCTTTCATGGACCGGTCTAGTTCGGTACGGTTTGGTATCTGTCCCGAGCCACTCCTTTCATCTCTCACTTCTATATATATCATCCTCTTCATTCATTACCTTCTTCATTATCTCATTCTCTTCTCTCATCTTTCACGTTCACTTCCAAAAAACAATATATTTACACTTTCTTGATTTTGTGATCGGTGTACGTAGCGCAAAAAATGAAGACAACTGGTTCGGGCATAGGAGGAACGAAGAGGAAGATGTGGAGCCGTGGAATGGGAGGAGCGGTTAGAGAGCAAAAGGCTAAGCTTTACATCATAAGGAGGTGTGTCGTCATGCTTCTTTGTTGGCATGACTAAAACACTTATCAAATCATTATGAACATCATCATCGGCTTCATGAAGACTAACCAAAGATTTTCCTTCTCTTCTTCTCTCTTTCTTTTTTTTTTTTTTTGGAGTCTTACTTATATGTTATAACCCATGGGAAGAGAGCTTTATATGTATTGGCATCTAAATGAAGCCATATATGTATTTTTTTTTGTAGTGGTTTTTTCATCCCAAAGAAGGTTTTTTCAGATGTATATTAGTAGCCAATTAATTCGATATCTCTTGTTGTTATTTATTGCTGATTATTTTTTTATTTTATTACTTAGCCAATTAAAAAAAATTACTGAATTTTGTTTCCGAAATGAATAACATCAAACAAGTTATGAAGGTATAATTTTATTTTTATATTGTCAAAATATGTCAAGAAGAAATGGAAGAAACAACAATGATCCATTTTCACCATTTAAAAAAACTAGATATATAGTTGAGAAGCAAAATAAAAAACTGTTTGAAACCAATGTTGAAGACAATGCTAGGCTATAAAGGCATGGTGATCTATATATGTATGTATCACATAAACAAAACCTAAGCGTTTATAGAATCATAAATTATTTATAGTTAATATTAAAAATTTGCAATATATACTACACTCATCATAAAAATAAAAGATTTAAACTTCAAAAAAAAAATCAAAGCCAAACCAACAAAGATTAATTTTAGACCAAATTAAACATTACGTACGCGCCTAAGAAATACATAGAAGATTAAATTGGAGGATAAATAACATTTGAAAGTGCTTTATCCAAACAAGCAATCAAATGATTAAATTATTGATCATAATAGATTTTAACATAAAATTAATCATCAATTCAATTTAGATCGAATAACATACGATGATTTAGAAAACCATGTGTTTATGAAGTTAAAAGAAAAATAAAAAATAGTTTAAGAAATAAAACGGCTAAACCAATTAATAAAACTTGTCGATACATCTAAAATTCGTCTAACTATGCATGATAACAAAAAATGTCTAATTCCAGGCCTAAAAACTGATTACTAAAATTTAGAAAATTTCAATTACTAAGGCGAAATCTAAACAGCATATATAATTGTGGAATGAATTAATAAGGATTTTGTCACCCGTTTTGTATTGTTAAATATACATATATAAAAATATATCAAAAGAATTAAGCGACATGTACCGAATTATATATTTAAGTTCTGAAAGGCCGTTTATGCGTATGGTGGGGAAAAAAATATACAACAAAAAAAAACATTTAATAAGCGGATTTTGAGACACAGAAAAATCACTTCTTGTCTCAGATAAAGTTTTCTGGTTGCATAGGATGACACGTCTGAAAGATTCTGGTGTCTGTTGTTGTTCTTGTTGTTCTTGTTTGTTTTATACTTATAAAACTACCAAACTTGTGAAACAGAATAAAAATCTTCCCTTTGGTTATATAAATCTATGATTTGATATTGTACCATCGAAAAAAATAGTTGTCTGGTTATAAAAAGGTGGATAGACGAACTGATCATAAAAAAAAGGGGTCTTAACATTTTGTGTAATGAAAACACCTATTTGTCGGCCACATTGAAGATACGTCTTCTCATCTAAAGACTTTCACTTCATAATCACTTATGGCAGGCAATGAGTGTCACAAACAGAATAATAACAAAATCAATTTCAGAAGTTTCACCTAACTTCCTTGGTTTAATTTTCATTGATATGCACTTTGTATCTTTGCCAATTGTATGATGATCATGAGTTAGATCGTTTTACTTTCCTTAACTCGAAATGCCGGGAATCAAATTTTTGCGGTTACTCCACTATTACACAGGGTTGAAGCCAAATCGGTAAATCGAATCAGAGAAAATCGCAGCCTCAAAAGCTACAAAAGAAAGGTCATGCTTTCCGCGGCTCGGGTTCTCGACTTGGCTGAGGAAAAATATATTGAACTCCTCTTGAAATCATCTATTGCATACTTAGCAAAAAAAGAAAGCCAAAAAAATTGTGACTAGGCCCAAATAGTTTACCCTGTCAAACCCATTACCAGATCTTTGCAATCCATTTTTTAACAAGACCTTAGTGGAGACCCAATCGCTAAACTGAAGACCACAGAAGTAGCCACGGAAATCACATTTTGGCAAATCAGAAACAAGAAGTTAACTACATGGGAGCAAAAAAAAAAAAAAAAAGAGAGAGAAACAAGATTCATGAATCATGACATATACGATGGATTACAGTATTATGTACATCCACTGGAAAACGAATTGGATTTTCCTATGCAAGTTGTAACATATATATATATATAAGTGCTTGCTTCATTACTAAAAAAAACCAAACAAGCAAGAAAAAATTTCTTCATTATGATCGTCCGCAAATCTATACATCGTATACAGGCATACGCTCCTCGATCAGGACACGACATATCGGGCATTTCTTGCATTTCTCACAGCATGTACTGTTAAAACCAACAAAATATCAGTAACATATTCTAGCCAAAGATAAACTTGGTATGAAGTTAAAGTGAGATAGAGAGAAAGAGAGAAGGAACTTTGGTTTACCTGCAGAGGACGTGATGTCTACATGGGAGTAGAACTACATTGATGGGATCTTCAAAGCAAACTCTACAAAGAATCTTCTCCTGAAATTTATGCTTATGTTGGGTAAGCAAATCGTTACTTCGATGTATTAAACAGAGAAGGTTGAGTGGATGTATTACATTTTGAAGCCTTTCGTACTCTTGCTGGCTATAACTGGTTATATCTGTTTGCTCACTCAATGCAGCTTGGAGTCTCCATATCTGATGAGGAGTTAAAAAAATTCAGGATTTGGCTTTGGTGTCAAAATATTTATAACGAAATGACTTATGTCTAAATTTACCTCTTCAACAAGATCAGACTTTGGCATTTTCTTCACAACCTCTGGTGAGAAGGTGTTGTATCTGGAAATAATTGGGAGACAAAACTAAATTTGTTTTCAAAAGAGCCAATTTGTTGTCTTGATGTTACCAAGAGATAAGAGCTTTACCCAGTAGCTTCTCCAGAGTAGAGCCTAGCTTGTTCTTCCCGACTTCCTTCATCAATCGACCACCAGCCAAGTAATCTGTTGTTCATTACAATATGAGAAAGATTAGTGTTTCGGAGTATTTCTTCACCAGAGGTTCCCATTGTTCTGTTTGTTTCTGCTATTGTACCTTGCACCATGTTGAAAGAATCCCAGGAATTCACGAGCTGATGATGTTACACTATAATATCTACCGTAAGAACCACCACCACTATTTATTAACAAGACTGATTTCTCAACCAACCTAAATAAAGCAAACAATACTCCAGCTCCTTGTAGCAGAAAAAGTGGTACAAACAGAACTAAAATTGGAATGTTCTTGGCAGAGGCAGGTGTTCCCTGGGATTACATTAAAGAGAATTAGCTCGAACTGGTGAAAAAGGTAATGTTTCAAAGCAATAGATTTTGTCTCTGTAGTATACCTCTAAGCGCATGAAAAGGATAATTTGAAAGGTAATGAATGGTATTTTCATAACATGTCCACCAATATCTTGGAGACCACATATTCTGTTGCTTTGCTGATGCACGTCGTCAGCGCTTACAACTAGACCTCTGTTCCAGTCCAGATATCTTACTGCCATCGACGATGAACTAGGTTCCGGTACATGTGAATACCTATGAATTGTTTGGTTGCTCCACTTTGTACAGACAAGAAAGGCAAAGCACTCTGCTATTCTGTATATTGAGGAGAAAAAAGTTTGTTCAAGCCCACCATCGAAGAGATTTTTTAAGAGCCAGAAGGACTTCAAGAGATAAAGTAGTTTACCCAAAGTTTATAAACAAGTCCCACCATCCCAATGCAGCTACGTCACCTATGCATGGATTTGAGACATGAAAGAATCAGAAACAACAAAAACAGACTGAACATAACAAGACAGAGAGATTATGAACCAGAACAACAGTCCCGAGAAAAACAGTTGACTCTACAAAATTACATACACAATAACTATTACAACATAAATCACCAGATAACGATCCAAACATCTATCTTTAGTTCAACTTGACATGGGACGAGAAACTTCAAGAACACCAATAAGGTTGCAGTAGGAAAGGAGAAGATGATCAACGAAAGAGAGAGAGGTAAGTAAATGCACAACATACCACATAACTTAAGAAGTGTGAAGGTTGTTGCGGCAATGAAGAAAACCATAGATATGGAAACCCAAAAATGCTACAAAACCAATAGAGAATGTCAGAACCAACCTGGAGAGGCAAGCTAATAAGATGGAAAAACAAGTCAAACCAAAAGGTTCATTTAGTCTTAAGCAGTGGATATTAGCCCAGTGTATGGGCTACGAGTACTAAAATGTGTGTATATAGAGAACAACTAACTTACAGGAAGTGTTTCCCATATGGCTTCATCACTCATAGTTTCCTCATCTCCAGGCATGAGTGTTCTGCACATTCTGCAGGAAAAGTAGCAAACAAGATTTTATTGTTCAGTACTCTAGAGTAGTAAGAAGGGTGAAACAAAATCAAACCATAAAGCATTGAATGAAATACCTGACATTGTCTATCAAAATTGCTACCTCGAAAGCAAGCAACGGTAGGAAGACAATCTTTAAGTCAACAACTGCAAACAGAGGGACACTACCAAAGCTATAATAAACCCCACTAGTCATATATGCCATGATCAAGAATTAGAAGTTATGAATAATTACCATATTTATCTTCAAGATGTACACAAAGAAGGATCTCAAAAGCAACAAGCAGTGGCGCTGCCATAACCGAATGAAAAGGAGCCCACTGCCACAACAAAACCAAATTAGGAACTTAAACAGATTCACAACAACCCTGCAAGCTAAATTATCAAAGAATCAACCTAAGAGAGTCATAAAAATGTCATACATGTCGATCATGAGGCATTGATGGAGCAGGCAACGAAAATCTACCTCGAGCAATCACAGCATGAAACAGCCACAAGGGTGTAAATATAAACCTGTAAAACAGACAAAAACACACACACAAAATTGAAGGGAAATGAAATCTATCCACAACAAAGTCTTAATCTTTAAGAATAGTAACTTTAAACATCACCAAAGATTCAAAGTGATTACACTTAGAGAAAGATTGCTATTTTAAGATAATCACAGTTCTTATGAAACTCAAAAATCCAATTTTAAAACAAAAAAAACTGGGTTTAAAGGAAAAGACTTTGCATAATTGAGAATCCAATCAATCAATTCAAACATTTCCTAATACCAAAAACAGAAGTCAAGCCACCAAATTTAAAAAAAAAAAACTGACCACCATGAATGAGAAACAACATGATCAAGCTTCAAAGCAAGAAGAAGCGTAAAGGAAAAGAGCAAACAATGCGCAGAAGCGGCTTGAAGAGACTTCCAGACTCTTCTCCAACTCATTACTCTTCTCTGTACCAACATTATCGTAACCCTAACAATCAGACAGAACCCTTTTGAACTCAAAATCTAAGATCTGATTGTTGTCAAAATCTGGAAAGTTTCAGAATTTGAGATTTTTTCGCGGAAAAATTCAAGAGGGTAACACAGAGAAGAGAAAAAGATTTATTCTTTAGAGAAAGAGACATTTTCCGACTCGGAGAAGAGGAAGGCTGAGCTTCCACGCCAAAGCCCTCTGTAAAATTTATACCTTTTGACATTAATACCCTTTTAATTTTTGCTGCTATTGTAACGAGAGATAAGGGTACTTTGGGAATTAGGAAATATGATATAAAAGTGAGAGATCTTATTACTACAGTAACTAATAAGAGAAGTAACTAATAAGAGAATGTGATTTGGTTTTAGTAATAAGATATTTTGTTTTTCACAAGTCACAACATACGACTCTCCCTGTTACGAGGTTAGATAGAATTGTAAGTTTTGTCGTCCTTTCTTATAAAAACAATTAAATACTCTTCGTTGACAAAATAATTAACAATAATTAACACTCTTCCGTTTCAAAGTTAATCTCTTGATATTGAAATATTACAGTATGTATATTACTTAAGTCTAAAACAGAACATTAATACTAAATACTAGTATGTCTTTGGTATAATTTTTCCGGATATTGGATCGAATTATTAAGGAATGTTGTTGGGAGAATCAACTTTTGAGCAAGAATGACACATACACCATGTTGTATTATGGAACAGTCGGAAAAAGAAAATTATTATTTTGTTAAGGTTAAACAAGAGGTCACTTTGTTGGAAAAACATTAATTTATTTCCTAAGCAAGAATAGCACTAGAGATTTTAATAAAGCAAACCCACTTGATGGAAATTAAAGAAGAAAAGAAAAACATGTCAACCATAAATTAGCACCACGACCACGAGCCATTTATGATTGTGGTCTCTGCTTCTATCCCAAGTAAGAAAGTGGCACGAGCTCCAGCATTGCTCTCCTAATAAACAAGTCCACAACGTTAAAATCGTTATAGAGATATAAGATTAAAAATGTTATCAAATTTCATCATATGCTATACCTATCGATAATGATTGATGGGAGACATATGTTGAAATTCACCAATAAATACATCGACCAATAGCAAGTTTTTAAAGTATTATATAAAGTACCAATAGTGTTCAATAGTTTTGTGAGATGATAAAGAAAAGTCGTTAACTCTTGTTCATTTGATTAAAAAGTTATCAAGGTCTTGTCGTGCAAGTTTATGTGTTTCGGCTAGACTCTAGAAGAGAGATTCTCTCCTCGTTGATGATAAGATTGATGGCAGTTGTTTAAACATTAAAATTAAATAGAAAAGATTGATGGAAGTTGACAAATGATAATGGTTTTAAATACACTAATAACAAGGGTTTGAACAGTGACCTTGAAACGGAAAGCACAATTACAACCAAATTTCTCATATTATAAATAATTTGGTTAAACCATTGATTATTTTTTGTTGGAATCTGATGGATTAGCTAAGAGAGAAATATGACACAATTTTATAGTTTAGTTCATAGTTGTATCAGTTTACAAATAATGGTGACTTTTACAAACAAGTTATATGTTTCTTTTATTAGTATAGATTTCTTAAAACTTGTTCAGAAATCAAACATAATATACATATTTACCATCTACAGTAAAACCTCTATAAATTAATACTCGATAAATTAATTATCTCTATAAATTAATAAATTTCTCCGGTCCTAAGTTGGGACCAGTGTAATTTTAGACAGATTTCGATAAAATAATAAGACAATAATTTTTTTGAAAATCCTTTGTAAATATATGGTCCCATCAATATTATAAATTAATAACTAGGTAAAATTTTCAAAATATATGTATATATAGACACATTATTTTTTGTTAGAGTTTATTTCTAGTATTTTACTATATAAAAATTATTAGAATTTTCTTTCAAGACATAATAATTATTATTTTCTTTGTTAATGATTATATAAAATACTAATTATCATGATTAAATCTTATTTTTTAATATTTTTTTGAAAAAACTTTCCAAATTAAGAAAATCTCTTTATAAATTAATAATTATTAATTTACCAATAAATTAAAACCTCTATAAATTAATAGATTTTCATGGTCCCAACATTATTAATTTATAGAGGTTTTACTGTATCTTATGTTTTAAAAGTAAAGGTTTATTATAGTTAAATTTAATTACTTAAATATGTCAGAAGATGACTGGGCTTGGTTTGTTGGGCCTTCAGAATGGGTAGTACGTAGAATATCTTTGTAGAGACCAACAAATTAAATAAATCTCTTCTCATTTTGAAATTTTGTAATCAAACACGACCAACTCAGCCCTAATTGCAATTATCCAAAAACTAATGATATTTTGTAAATTTAAAATTCAAAACCATAACTACAGAAAGCCAAAAGAGGATTTAGTACTAGACAATTCATATGGCCAGTCACTTGGGGGTAAAAGAAATGTTAAAAAGAAAAATGTAATGACAAGTTAGGGTACAACAGTACTAAACATCATAATAATTAATAACGTCTTTACGTACTATTACACAACACTTCATGATGCAAGCTTAACACAAATACGACGTCAATTACTTATGTTCCTCGTCATGTACGTACCAATATCAATCACAATCACTTATCATCCATCGTTCATGCACATAAAAACTCATTTCTTTCTCAAATATTAAAATTTTACACCTTGATTTGACCTTACTCACTTCCTTCATCCTTAAATAGTACTTCTCATCAATGCAAGTTTTAGCATTATTTTTAATGAAAGTCTAATATAATTCTCCTTAACAAATTACGATTTCATGTTAAATTTCATGGAGCATCCTCAAACTAATTGGCTACGTACGTACTTCATATGTTAGTCTTGGTCCCATTCCTACCTCCCACCAGTCATGGCTCATGATGCAGTTTATATAAAGCAAAATATTTGAATATTGTTTAGGTCTAATAATACTTGGCTGCTTATGGATGTGTATGTAAAATCGTTACACGAAAAAGATTCTATGAGACACATAAAAACACAAGGCAAAAGAGTCAGAGAAGCATCAACGTACGAAGCTCAGAATCCCAAACTTGTCTCATTTTGTTATCCCCCCGGACAGAACCCGACTAAATCAATTAATGATACACATCATCTTTTGGTACGTTTCCTGTTCTTCTGCATTGTCTCTTTTTGGCTTCACACGTTCGCACATTGCAAAAATTAACCCAAAACCCACCAAAAATTAAATTCAAATCCTCCCACGGCCAATAAAACGGATTTTTGCAAAACCCATGCATTTGGCCATACATAAATCATATCATATCTAGAAAACAACTCAACGATATTCAAGAGTCCAAGACCTCAATAACGGATACAAATATCTCCGTTATACATAGTACATACACACAAACACACATATCTATAGTATAACGTGACGTACAACAACATTCATTTCCATATCCATCAAACGACACACACGTAGTAGATACACAGAAAATTAGAAAGAAAAAAAAGAGACAGCGATTGAAGTAAAAACTGATTACCTCTGATGATGATGTTGTTGTTGTTGTTCAACGATAGTTATAGTATTGTGACTACTCATTCTCTGTCTCTTAGCATTCCCAGAAGAAGATGACTCCTCCACATTGCTCTTCTCCATCACCGCCTTCAAAGCCTCCTCTATCGTCCCTATACAGTACTCTTCCTCCACTTCCTCGCCGGAGCTCTCTTCTCCAGTGACAAACAACACGTTCTTGACTCGTCCCCCTACGGTGGTTATCTCCGCCTTAAGCGTTTTAAGACGCATCGCTTTCAACGTTTTGATCATGTCAGGCAAGAGATCCGACCTGTCTTCACAGCAAAGCGACGCTTTGATAACGAATCTACCATCTCCGGTGTCTTCCTCCTCCGTGAAAGCTACCGTTAACTCATCGCTCTCCGTTGGGACAAGATTTGTCTCAGAGATCACTGAAGTCTCTCTCTTCAACTCTTTCACATGTTGGATCACTTCAGCTAGTAACGATGCTTTATCCGTCTGCATTGAGAGAAAAAAAAAAAAAAACCATAAAGAAAAAAAACATAATTTGTATAGTTTCGAGGAGAAAATTATGTGGTCGAAGAAGAAGTTATGATTTGGTCCGGCAATAAGGCTTTTTTATTCTTTTTAAGCTGCGCCGTTTGTTTCTCTTTATTACATCAATTAACCAAACGACGACATAGACGTTCCATATTCCATACTTTTTATTTATACTACAGTCTCTGACTGATTCTCTCTCGGGACTTTAACAAATACACAGGAGATCATTGATCAAAACAGAGAACCTTTGAATAACTTGCTTCCTTTTTGATAAAACCTAAATGTAAAAAACAAATATGAAAAAAGAGACAAAATGTGACATGAACTTTCATGTCGCAGCTACTATGTTTGTCCACTTCAGCTCTACATTGTTTTAATATTCTTTTTTTTTGTTTTAATTATGAACATCCGTTATGAATCTAAACGTTTTGTAATGATGATTGATGATGAATGTTTTTGTTATGTACATGAAAAATTTATGTATAAAGAATTTGGACTTACTTTGGTGGTGTTGGGTAATATGCTACGGAGCTTAGCTAGGTGATTATTGATTCTCTCTCTTCGTCTTCTCTCAGCTTCACTATGACTCTTTGAAGCAGCTAAAGCTTTAGCGTCCATGATCTCTTGTGCTGTCATCTTCCCTAACTCAGCTTGTAACCCAAAAGGACCAGACCCGGCTTGCACTACCGGACCTAAAGCCTCGGACAAGATCCGAAGCTGTTCATGGTGATGATGTGCTGCTGACGTGGCTCCACCAAAACCCTCGTACCCGAACTGTACTCCCTGGTGATGAGCTCGACTTCTGTTGAAGAAACTCCCGTAGAAAGATCCTGGAGTAGAAGAAGGAGGAGGAAACTGATCGAATGGTGGTTGGATCGAAGTAGTTGGAGGTAGAGACCATATTGGGGAGACAGAATCTTGAGATAAGATAGTGAATCCGGATCCAACGTTACCGGATGGTCCAAAAGTTTCGGATTGAGAGGGATCGTGATGATGATGATGGTGAGAGATGAGTTGGTGGAAGAAGAGGTCGTTTTGGTAATTTTGGATGTTGTTCATGGCTCTAGAACTGTCTTCTTCTTCTTCTTTCTTTGCGCACATATCACTTGTTCCTATGAAAACACAAGAGTCTTCATCTTTCAACTCTTTCTCCTCCTCTCTCTCTCTCTCTCTCTCTCTCTTTATATATATATAAGTATATATTTAGTGTAAGAGAAAGAAGGTAGGAGAAGAAACAAAAGTTGAGAGAGTTAAAAAGAGACAAAATATTGCTTTCAAATGTTTAGAGACGCAGACATATATAGAAAACTCATATGCGTTTGTATCCTATATATATAAATCTATGGTTTGAAGGACAATAGGGAGTTTGCAACTTGTGTTATATGTGTTGTGGTGGAATTATTAAAAAAGCAAAAAAGGTAATGGGTTTAAGATTCTTTAGATTATCGCCTATCTCTTTTCTTTACGCATTTAGTACTTCACTGTCTATATTTTTAACTTGCAGATTAACTTGATTTAAATATAATAATACTATCTAAATTATTAGCACTAAACAGTTTTTTGATAAGTAAGCCTTTTAACAATAAAACATATGAAAATTGATTTGGCCTCTTCTATATTAGACCACTAAACTAGTTATTAGAGAGCACATACATAACACACTGTCTAGGATAGTGTTTTGTTTCTCTATTTTACTTTTCATTGGTCAAGAATGGTTCTCGTTGATGTAAATCCACCATTGTATATCAGTCAAGACATGTAATCTCATAGTTGATACTAGTATCGTGTGTATGCTACCATTTGAATCAAATTCTCATAACTAAATATATTGACCCTGTTAGATTATAAGTCAAATAAGATTTAATCTTATAGTGAATTATGGATTAAATGAGTTATTGTAATATAGATAATGGGTTACCTATTTTATCCACATGATTTTTGTTAAAAGAAAATTTATATATTTCATTTGATTCATCATATCTTAATATCATTATACCATCGTCGTCATACCTAATCATCATCATACAATTTTGCAAAATTTTGGAAATCATCATTTCAATATTATTTATATAAACGCAATTATCCAACGTCAAACTAGAAAGGATTCCACAATGTTTTTCCAAAAATATGATCTTGCAATCTTTATTGTAAACAACAAAGAGATTCTGACAAAGAGAAAAAAAAAAAAGAGATACAAATCCACAATTTCTCTTATAGATGATCTTGATGATGCATGATGCTATAGTGATCATTATGCTATGATGATGATAAAAATGATAGTACGATGAGGATGTGATGACAAAGATTGTATGGTACCGATTATATGGTGATACTTGTTAACTATGAAAATTGTTTTATATAAATAAATTATTAATTATTTTTAACTTATATGATAAATAGATCATTAGTTGACCCCTATTTGCGAAATGGTTTACGTTGTTCTTTAAAGTCTTTAACCTACCTAACATTCACCGTTATTGGGATTAAAAGCCGGTTTAACTTAATTTAGTTGGTTAGCTTGCCCGGGTTAGATTAATTAGATACCTACAATTGTACAGTTCTAATTTCTTAATGAAGAATACAGTTTTTGATAATATCTTCAACAAACTCCTTCTTCCGAGTTCGTAATAACCATATTAATATTATCGGTTAAATTGATTGGATTACCCATTTCAACACTAAAGATAAACAAAAAAAATGAACATAATAAAAATTTACATGTAATTCACAATCGCTAGTGTCTAGTGCTAATGAAAACCTCATCTTAAATATACAATTGTTAAAAAAATCGTGGAACGAAGTTCTTTCGGTGACATAACTAATAAAAGATTCATTATAGGTTTTATGTAAATGGATGTGTGAATCTTGAGATGCATATAAATATATGTAATGAGAAACCTACACAACTTGTACTCTTGTAGGTCTTCCTATAGAAATTGTTTATACTAATTAGAAAGCCAATATAATATGGGTTTTATAGACATGTGTGTTTACATTCATGTAATAATACAAAGATAAACTTTACATTTGGTTATATGATGTGTCTATATAGATGTATGGATGGTTTGCAACTTGGAAAGTTACTCTGCAAGTCGTCTTTGCTTTCAACTTACGAAAAGCTCAACTAAGGAGTGTAGCTATCAGGGAAATCAAAATTAATAATGTTTTTAGTACATTAGTGATCGGTCCAAAAATTGCTTTAAATCACATCCTCTCAGACTCATAGGATATAGGAGAGCTTGAGAAACACTATAACTGAAAAACAAATAAATAAATAAAAAGAAAAACAGAGAGTGAACACAAAACACAAATATTGTCGGACCGACCAAAGACTCAAAAAAGGCTGGCCGTATCATCATGACCTTAGTCTCAAGCTTGCAATCGAAAAGCCCTTTTGCTTTCCTTCTCACTTTCATTTCATTATAATATTTTTCGTTCTCTCTAGTGTCGGCTTAATTTAGTTTCACATCTACTATACTTCTTTAGTTCTTTGCATGTCCATAAGACGGACGGATCACATTTAAATTCTGCTTTTAAAACTGTTTTTGTTGTTTGACAAAAAAAAAAAAAAAAAAAAACTGTTTTTGTAATTTCCCTATCAATTTCTTCTATACCAAGTTTTTGTTTATTTACTAAATGAATTAAATATCACAATACCGACTCTCTGTATTGACATGTATACATACAAATACAATGCACGTGTGCGTATTTTATAAATATGTATCTTTAGGTTTTTATTTATGAGGAAAGCTAGTATATGTTAAATTTTTCTCTATATAACCCTCTATAATGTTATGCATAACCAAGACAGTCAAAGGCAAAAACACAGTTCACACTAATTTCAGATAGAACAAACTTTATTTTGCAATTTTTATATTGTAACGTAAGAATTCTCTAACCATAAATAAAGAGAGATGTATATATGTAGAGAAAAGCTTGTCAAGTCTCTCTGAACATTAAGTTTATACCTTTTGAAGTAGATTATAGTGTTTAAAGTTTGACCGACCTTGGTATTAAACATCCGAGACGGTTTAAATCATACTCAAAAGCCAAAAAATAAAACATCAATAAAAGTCTGAAAAGAACAGAATAATTGTGCATAGCAAAAGAAAGAGAGAGTAGGGAGCCAATTTTGTTCATGAAAAAACCTTTCATTGTGCTCTATCTCTTGAGCTTCATTTCCCACGCTAATCCTTTATGGCCTTCCCCAAAGACCTTTTAATCATTTTGTCTTGGAACGTACTCTCTCTCTCTCTCACACATGCACTTTATAACCCAAATTAACATGACAAAGTTGTAGACAAAAGTAGATAATCTTAAGAGTCTATTCTTAAAAATAATACTTACTCCATCTTAAAAACCATTAGAGGCTTGATATATGTGTATTAAAAACTCCACATCTTTACATTCATGCTTCCAAAACTATTTAAAAACAATGTCAATTACTATACCCTATATATAGTTTTACATTAACAAAAAGTTAATCGTTGATTTCGATTGATTGGAGAAGAGAAACAATATATTTGGTTTCAAGGAATGGAATACGACAAGAAGGAGAAGATGACACATAAGGCAAAGAATTTGGGAAAACAAGTGAGAAAAGGAGGAATGATGGTATATGTTTCAAGTCACTTTTTCAAAGACGCACGCACAATTTCCCAATCACATTCTTCTTCCGTTGCTTCTACTTTCTTCAACTCCTCTCTCCCCATAGTACTATATAGTCTTAGAGAAATTATACTTTTTCATTGACTACACTTTATACTAGATACTACTATTCTTTTCTACCAAACCGCCTTCATAAATCACAGCGTTTTTGTTGTAAACTGTATATTCCCTGAATTGGCTCATAGTTGTCATAAAACTATAGAAAATATAGGATAAAGCTAAAAAAATCACATAGCAAAGACAATTTATCAAGGTGAACTAGGAATTTATTATCGAGGTCCTAAGAATTATTATTGAAAGTTGTGATTAAAAAGAACAAAGTATGAATACATTAATGTTCACAGTCAAACGTTAATGATTTGACCCAAAAAAAAAAAAGGGCAAACGTTAATAAAAATGAACTCTTATTATCCATTTATATGTTGATCCAAGGTTAAGTACATTTAGTTGTGGAGATTTATCAAAATGGATTATTTAGGTTAATTAAAATTTAGTGAGGTAATGAGTACTTAAACATAAAAATAATTTCTTATAAAAAATTTAATCCTCTATATCTAGCAATTTTGATTCATTTAAATAGTATAACATGGTTTAAGATATACAATAAAATAGCAAAACCATATGTATTTCTGGAAAAAAAAAGCAAAAATCATAAAAGAGGCTACAAAAGCAAAGTAAATAAAGAGGTTGACCGGCAAAGTGCGGACAAAAACGCAGTCTTTGTAAGAAGTTTGGTTAACAAAAGTAAAAAAGAGGCCAAATCATAAGACACAACATAATTTTTTCTTTTTGCTTACTGACCCCCAAAAAAAAAAAAAAAAAATCACACTTTTATAACTGTGTCTTACTTTCACAATTCCATTTTACAGAGGCTCCAGTTTTTACCAATTTGGTATAAACATTTTGGTGCCTTTTGTTTCGTTTTACACAATAATAATATTATTTACAGTTTGGATCCCTTTATATAAAAGATGTAATTTCTTTGCCCAAAAAAAAAAAAAAAAAAAGATGTAATTTCTTTATCATCTAGTGGGTTTCCGAGTACCGTATACGTATTTTTCCCTTATTAATTAAGTCGTGCATGGTGTGCATAGAGGTATATAATATGATAGAGAAATCTATTAACGAGACTTATAATAATTGGTATAATTTGTTATTAACTTATGTAGATACAACTCATATTCAATATATAATTTTTTTTTGTTGACCAAAATTCGATTTGATCTGTAGTTTAAAAATAAAAATGGTGTTATTGTACTTTTTTTTTTTTGATAACTCAAGAGTGATTTCAAAGGTTTTGTAGGTCTAAACACTAATTTTCTGGGGTCGAAGGATACCATGTTAAATTTCGAACTTCTGTGGCCAATGATACTTGAACTTAGGTGGTGGGAATTACTTCCTTTTATCACTGGAGCAAGACGACTTGGTTTAATTGTGCCGTTTAAGTTTGAAAAAATGTTTTGTGTGTCTTTTTAAGTCTATGTGAATTTTGTTTTTTTTTACTTTACGTACGTCTCCGAATAAGTGGGAATGGTAATCGTGTATCAGTACATGTATGTTAAACACGTTGGCAACTCACCTGATTA